ATGTTTCATATTTCCCTGCCCTATATGCACCAGACTCATCTGGTAATTAGACCTAACAGCAGGTCTTTCACATTGTTGTCACTTATTCAGCCCATGTTCTGTCTTTATCACTTCATATCCTGTGAACTTTGAGCAGAGCGACTGATGGAAGGAAGGCAACAAGATAGCAGAGGGAGAGTAATCTTAGCATCTGGCACGGTTGCATTTGCCTGCAGATGCTGGCTGCTGATTGGACGTCTTGGAAAGAGCACGTAGGAAATATCAGATCTGCCTGTCAAATATGATTCATGACCAACAGCAAAGTTGCTGAGGATTTACAGTAATATTCTGAACAGAGTGTGAACTCTGTCATTAAAGGACACTGCCACTGTCAGTCAGAGCTATAGGCCAGCTGGGTAAATATACTCACCATTCTGTAATCAGAGCTGGTGGAATTCTGTTGTGGATGTCTTACAAAGCAGCTTTACAATTACACACAACTGAACTGTTGTTCTGAAAAAACAAATTCAGAAAGACACAAGAAGAGGACATGGGTGCATCACCAAAGTTTGTAAGGTGACATGTTTATTTCCTGAAGCAAACTTTCTCTTCTCCTGTTGTCATGTAATGCAGGAGTGATATGAAAACACTCTGCTCAGGCCCAATGAAAACACACACACACACACACACACACACACACACACTGTGATCAAATCAAATGAAGGTGTCACACTGTGATGGATTATCTCACTGTCTGAATGCTGTTTTTTTAGACTTTATAGGAACAAACAACAGCAAATGGCAGCTTCTGATGGAGGAAAACAATATGGATATTTACAAGTCTGCTGATTTTGTACCTACGAGCCAGGAAAACCCACGGAAGACAAAGGATAGCAAATATGTTACCTTTTGTATGAATTCTGGGCCACTGAGTGTCATTGTGAATGTTAATGCAAGCAGTGACGTTAGTAGAAATCAGACTGTTGTCTCTCAAATTCTGTGTGACTCACACTTAGAGTTTTGGCAGCTATTGCTTGAGTCAATTCATGATATTCAGAATGAAATCAGTCCCAATGATGGTTACCAGTCTGCAAACAGAAAATAGATTTGAGACGTGCAGTTACCAACTCCAGCTCTCTACCATGATCAAATGACTAAAACCCCATTTCCACTGAGCAGTATGGCATGGTTCAGTTCGGTATGCTTTTTTCCATTTCCACTGTGAAAAGTTGTGGATGGTACCAATGCAACTGTTCCGTACTGTCCCCATTTTTTGTCACCCCTCTGTTGGGGTAGCTAGCACACAGATCCGGTACAAAAAGGTGGAGCTGTGAACACTGCAGTTGGTTGAATGGTAAATAGTGGACGGTCACTCTGCTCAGAACTGAGCTGTGGCTGGTTTTGAAGCTCATGCAACCAGTCTATGGGGGAGTGTTTTATTAGCAAACTGTAACTATAAAATGAAATGAAATTGCTGTCTCTCGCAGCAGGTGAAGTCAGAGAAAAAAACAATTTCATTCACTGGGCCGACTGCTGGCGACTTTTAAGGTGGAACGTGAACTTTAAATGTCTATGCATGAGTTGACAATATTAATCAGTCAGCACACCTTAAATATCACTGTGACAACGTTGATCATTCTATTAGCTTTTATATGACATACACTTTTAGTAATGAGAAGATCTTCAAGTGTTTATATTTTCAACCAGCAACAAGCTACAGCATATATCCCAATCCTCACTTGGAGATAAAACAAGAGTGTCATTCCTGTGACTCCCGCAACCCCTGAGCTTGTCTTACTCCGAATTCCACTGGATGCGTGTCCGTTGCAACACCCACTGCGTGTGCAACTTTGCCGGACAGCGGGAGTCACAAGAAACCACAAGATCTCGCGAATTCATGCATAATCATGCGATATAACAAGATGTAGTTTCTATAAACAGAACTACAAAACCAGAGGAGTAGTAGGAAGACATCTCAGTGCACCTCCATGATTAACGTCTCCTTGTCCATGGTGTCAACGGGGTGAAATGACGTCTGAAAACCTCTGACCTGTTGACTTCAGGCCTGCCCCCGCCCATTATGAGGTTTTCAAGGTGTAGTGCAGGGATATAGTGAACACTGTGTATTTTATTTTGAAAATTAACTGGATGTTTTATTTTGTTTCTGTGCACGACTTCCTGTCCCGCACGATTTGCTCTGTGCTGAATTGCTGCGTTGTGCTCCGGCGCAGAGGTTGTGCTAGACTTTTTCATCGCCAGTCATTTTGACCGACAGGGTCGTAAAATCCGGTCATAATCTATTTTTACCGGTCATTTTAATTTTTGTTCTTAAATGATAATAAAGATATTCAAAGACATTTAGTTTTCATTCGTTCGTTTTTAATAAATCCAACAAGCAAGTTAGAAAGTGTGCATTAATAAGGACACGAACGAAAAGATGAACAGACATCCACACACCGCAGCGCTTCAGTTCGGCGTCTGGTCTACAGGCGAGCCGCGAGTGCTTCTGTCAAGCTGGATAGAGCGGATCGTACCAAACAGGAAGTCGGACACAGAAAAGACGAGAGAATCCGGCCAATTTTCAAAATAAAATAACAACAGCACACACTGAGGAACGTGAGGGAATACCATGTTTATAATTTAAAATAACACAACAGTGCATAATCGAACACATTTTTCAATACCCTAATCACTTCATTACAATTTTAATTTTGTGTCACTGAGCCTACAGACTACATAAATAAAATGGTCAGAACAATATGCCCTATTCATTCAGTGTTTATCCAACACGCTCAATACATGGGCATGCAATGACAAATTGTCATTAACTTATTACGTTATAAAAAACGATTAAAATATGGACTTACCCATGTTTAAAATGACCTGTTGAAGTGAAAAAACGAGTACTGACGGGAACAGACGAGTGGAGTCGATGTTTAACCGGCGCAGAGAGCGCAGGAGAAATGCGCTGCCTGTGTGGACCGTCAAGTGCCTGCGTGTATACTCGCAGGACTTCTGCGGCACTAACGCATCTGGTGTGTCCAGGCCGTTATGTTAACAACGCTACATGAAGCAGATGAATGACTTTTTCTCTGCAGTGTGAAAACGGCAGCCACTTAAACCACTGACTGTACATTCCGCCGCCAAGTGGGCAGGGGTGGTAATTGCAACCGGTCAAATGACCGATGGCCTTCAGATTTTCCGGTCATTGTTGTAAAAAAACGGTCAATGACTGAGAATATCCGGTTAACACGACCCCTGCTCCGGTGTCTGGCAAAAATAGAAGTCATGCGTATCTGTTGCAGAGGGCTCCGGAGCGCTGCAACTGTGACGGGGCCGGAATGCAGAGCAGCCGCAGCCGGTGGAAGCACACACGTTGACTAGAATTGAAACGTATCGGCTCCGCTGCCGTTCCGGAGCGCAGACACAACCAACACGCACCTGGTGGAATTTGGGGGTAAGGACTAAATGCACACACCTGCTATTTTTATATATCTCATCGACAGAGACTCTCATGGCAGCCTGTTTTATTTTGTTCAGAAAATGTCGGCATGCAACCCTGTTCTGTGGACAATAAACGAAGTGAAGACTTCCCTCTGTGTCACTCGTAAGGAGAAAGTGAGTGAGTGACAACCCTGTCCACATTTAAAAGCACTGTTTGCGGTGGAAACGCTAGGGTCTAGGCACCATGTCTTAAGGGTTACTTTTGGTTCCAAGTTACAATACCGAAAGTGTTTGCTGGAAATGGGGCTAAACATACCTCTTTTCCACCAAACTAGCTCTCGGGTCACACTCTGAAATCATCAAAAAAAGTTGCATGGTTAGTGACTTGTGACGATATACACTGACAAAAAAAGCCATCCTTTCACATCAGCATGATACACAGCAGGCTGGAGTTGAACCCCGGCCGCTGCAGCAACAGCCTTGTACATGGGGCGCCTGCTCTATCCACTAAGCCACCAACACCCCAGCCCTTATTGTTTAATAGCACCTGGCAGCATCAGGAAGAAATGCAGTGGGACAACAACAAAAGTTAAGGGGGCTGAATCCAGAGAAAGGCGAGTGGGAGGGGTGGTGGATGGATCCAACTACCACTTTCACCTGGGAGGCTTGTGTTTGCTTCCTGTAAGATTCTTCTATATCAGTGTGTTAAAACTTCCATACCTCAATGTCTTATGTAATTACAGTCATTCTGACTGACTTTCAAATGAGACCATGCATGTACATGTACTAAAAATGGAACAAGAGCAGCTTACAGCTTCCTTTGGGTATGCTTTGGATAAGTGTTTTAGGTGAATTTTATAGGACTGTGAATATAAGTAATGTTAAAAAGATTAAAAGTAAAAACAAAAACTGATTTATTTGCTTTATTTGCTGTAAATATATAATAATTTAGGTTGAATGACTCTGAATTAAGCTTTGTGGCTGACAGGGTTGTGCATGTGCATCCCCTATTGTGGGCTGCCACTGCTTCAGAGAGAAGTTAAAACCAACATACTCAAAACTGCACACATGGCCAATCACTGTGTGAAGTGGGTGGGACGGGATTATCAGATTATCCTGTTGAAACAATACTCACAAACATGGATAATTTTTTTATGAAAAACCCATTTAATTATTTTTATCGGTGGATATGAATATGGATAACTTACTGGGTATTGTTAGCTCTAATTGAGCTAACAATATGTAGCATCTCCATAATGACAAAAGTTCAGACATTTAGATTTGTATGATCAATCTAAACAGCTAATTTATGTTAGCTCAAGTGGGTAGCCAAAAACCTGTTTTTATATACCCAAAAAATTTCTATAAAAATGAACTGCTTGGCAACCAGACCAGGTGTCTAACTGAGACAGGCCTTTATTTGTCAAAATGTGTAGCCACACCAGGCTAGTTAAAGGGACTGGGCGTTTCACTGGGACTAGGCTTTTAATTGAAGATTTACGGTAGTTTCAATACAGAAAACTATATTGTGTGAAGCATAATTATACTTTCAGGGTTCTCAAATCTATCTGGTCCTCACCTGGGACAAATCCAACAATGACTCAACAGCTTCCCTCCGTGGAGAACCTGCAGCCTGCTGTCGGTGAGTTTGTACAGTCTGTGGTTACAATTCAGTGACATGACATGCTTCATGAGCTGAAGCAACAGTCCTAATCTCTTACTGCTATTTTAACAGGAAAATGCAGTCACCTCACAGCAACCAGCAGGATCCATAAACTCCTGGGAACCAGTGAATGTCACTTTACCTACAGTGAGTAAGTGAATGTGCACAGGAATTGTAGATATCCTAACAGCAGAGTGGTTCAAACAGGTTATCTCTTTTCTCTTTTTCTTTTAAGTAAGACAAAGAAAGAGAATATGAATGGAAAAAAACATCAGTGTGGATGATGATGAGTGTTTCTGATGGAGCATCCAGATCTGCTGTACAGATTGTACCGCTTGAAGATAAGAGCAATATTAGCAGCATCAGCTTAATTTTCCAGAAGCATACTTCAGGCTGGTTGTGTGTAACAGCACATAGAGCCACATCTGAGGAGAGATAAGAGATATAATGAGCAGATAGGAGCCACTCCAAGGGCTCCTATCTCTCTGTTTCTACATGGACATACAAAAGAGACGACCTGAGTGTGTTTTCTGCTACTGTTTTATTTAATTTGTTCAGTACTGGAGTTTCATGGACCAAACAATGGCACAACACTGCGTTACAGTTTCTTTCTTTGGGTACAACCGACTAACACAAACGTTAAAATTATTCATCTACAAATTGGACTAAAGCACACACACACACACACACACACACACACACACACATGCACACGCACACGCACACACACAGTCTCTTTCTCTTTCACAGGCGCCCAGCACAAAAACTCACTGCTTACACACACACACACACACACACACACACACACACACAGATACTCACACACTTACTGCACACTCATACATTCTCACACTCGCCCATACACACACCACATGTACTCACCATTCACAACAGAATACATTCTCAGGAAGAAAAAAAAACAGTCAATTATAAATTTTAGAGCATTTCATATGTTTTTTTTTTTTTTTAATCACACTCATGTTGAACAGTTCCCACCTCAAACAGGAAGTAGGCCTCACCTTAACTTGTCTGTGTGGTGACTATTTGTCAAGGCCTAGAACAATACCTAATGACAGGATGCTTTTGTTTTGGGAAATTATCTCATGATCCAGTGACCTCACTGTCATGTGGGTTTACAATTAAAGAGTATATCTACTTTCAGGGGGGTGATTATCAACCAATGCCTGTAAAAATATGCCTAATTGAATACATTTTTTGCCATTTTGTTATTGGTTTTCATCGTTTACCTTATTTAGAATAACCCCCTTGACTTGACCAGCTCAGAGCTCTGCAGGACCGTACCTGTGGTTTTGTCTGCACAGCACATTAAATACAAATACATCATTGCAGACCGTTTTCAAAGTACAAGGTTTTAACTGATTTCTTAACTAGTTTCCTGTCTCATGGGTTTCATTTCAGTATACTGTGACAATCAAAAGTTTGATGCTAAAAAAGCATTGCTTTGTAGGGCTTTGTAGGATGTTGTTGGGGGGGGGGGCACATATGAAATGGGGGGTTTAGTATCCTAACACAGGAAATTTTGGGCATCAATTACTTAATTTCCTGTGTTTTTGTGAAATTTTCCTTTTCCTTTTTGCCTTTTCTGCATCAATTTGTGGTGTACATCTCTTTAATTTTGTCAAACTTTAAGTCCAGTTTTCTTGCTTTTAGTGGGGGGGACATATGCACATATTCCAAATATTCAGGGGGATAGTGTAGAGGTTGTGTTTAACATGAAGCTTACTGTTTTTGACTGTTTTGTTAATTCTGGCAATGAGATTGGTTTAAAAAGCTGCTGCTCAACAGCCGAATAAAAGAAAATCTCAGTATGTCCCAGAACATAGCAGAGGAGGACTCTGAATATGGTCCATGCTTACACATGCATTACTGCACAAACACAGCTTACAAAAAATAAAGAAAGTAATGATGCACTGTGGTGGATTATTTATCTTTAAGAAATAGTTTGACATTTTTGGAAACACACTTACTTGCTTAGTAGCCCAGAGTTAGATGAAAGAATTAACAGCCCTCTCACTTCTATATGGCAAATGTGAAGCTACCATGGGCAACCAGTTAACTTATCTTAGCACAAAGACTAGAAATGGGTAAAACAGTTAACCTGGCTCTGTTCAAAGATAACAAAAGCCACCAGTCAGCTTCTGCAAGATCACTTATCAACATATTTTCAACACATTCTCACTCTGAACTAGTCAAATACCAACATTTGGTCAGTGGCTCTACACCTTCAACTATGATGCTCTAGGTACCCTCCAGCATTAGTTGTGAATGCTCTGGAATGGTGTGTCAATTTACGCTTGATACATGCACTGTGTCTTTTTAAAATAAACTTCAGTTTTCACAGAAATTGTAGATTCATACAGTTTCTTTTCAAAAGAAACTTAGAATTTGATTAAAAAAATGTTTTAAGGTTAATTTCCTTAGGTTTAGGCAACAAAAGCACATGGTTAAGTTAGGAAAAACACATCATGGTTTGGCTTAAAGGGCCAGTGTGTAAAATGGGTTGAAAACAGTGACATCAGTGGTCAAATTCTAGATTGCAGGGCTCACTCGCTCACCCCTCCCGTCGGGTAAATGACGGTGGCCTCGTAGGGACAAAAAGCCTTGCGCACGAGTTTTTCAGGAGTAGGTCTATCTAGCGACGAGGTGAATGTTTATTTAGAAATCTAAGCCATGTTACGATATTGTAATGAATCCCTCATGAGCAGGAGACCAGAGGAGCGTTCGGGAAAAAGGCCCGTTTATTTGAGCACTCCAGAAACTCTGGTAACACTCCAGGGGGTAAAAGACGTCCCAAACTCTGACTCTTCTAGCGTAACAGACACACTTCATAACTTTACACACATACTCGTTTACCATTCCGAGTTGGGACCTCGCTGCTTCACCAAGCTCCAGCCTGCACACTGACTGACAGTGTAGCCGGTAAACAGAGCTCAGCTGTTTATTTAGCCCAGCAATATCTCCGGACTATAGTAGCTGCAATGGACGACTTTGAACGCGATTTTGAAGAGTTTGTTGTAGCGGACACAGACCCAGAGCCATACCTGTTTGAGCCGGAGCATACAGATGAGGAACTCCATGTGTTTGATGCTGAGCGGGCGAGAAGAGAGGCTGAATGCACAGAATGGGATTCGGTGCTACTGCTACCATCGTTGGGGAGATATATCATCAGGAGGAAAAGCGCCGCAGAGAGTGCATCACAAGGAGTGAAGTTGCGTCTTCTTTTCCTCGCAGATGACGGTTCGGGTTCATTCTCTCCTGTTGCGTGGTAAGTGTGGTCCATTCGCAAACTTTATAACTATAAAAACTTTTCACTACTCTCTATCGACGAACTACTAACACTCTCTGCTGTTTCCTCCTCCTTCTTCCTTCCTTCCGCTGTCTTCGTTGGTTCATTTATACACACGAAACGCGTTTTCTGGCTGGCTGGATTGTCCGCTCGGGCTGCCTTACATACATGGCGGCGCAAGATGGCGACCTCTCTAAAGCAAGGCCTTTGCTATATATATATATATATATCTATAAAAGCATAATTATAAGGCTAAGAAAACCTAACGAATTTTATTTTATAGTGATTATACACTTGTATAAACATATTAATGGGTAGAATATTCAGATTGAGATTCAGATTGACAATAAACCATGCCAAATATTACACACTGGCCCTTTAAAAAAGTACATTTGTTACTAACATTATGTAATGTTGTTTGACCCACCCAATGTGGACTTTCATGTAGTCCACATTCTAGTAGTTGCTCTGAGAGTCAAAAAGTGCCTCAGCTCAGTATGTTTCAGTCTGCTGCTAAATGGCGCTTTGATGCATCGGTTTTCTGACGCTAAAGGCCACTGACAAAGGGTTGGTATTCGACGAAATGAGACTGAGTCTGGGGTGAAATTTTCTATACAGATAAATCTATTCAGATATGACGTGTTAATCAGTGGGCTTTAGAGGTGCTGGTAGGCAGGAGTTCTTCGCTTTGGACAGATCCAGACTAACTGTTTCCCCCTGTTTCATGTCTTAGCCAAGCTAAAAGACTGTTGGCTTTAGTTATACATTTACCATACAGACATGAGAGTATCAAGCCCATGATACATGAACATATTATGTGTTTATGGGCAGGAAATTATGTTCAAATTATGTGCAGGCAACACAAAAACAGTGCCAATGCAAAGTCAACGAGGATCTGTTCCCGTGGTGGACACACAAATTAAATAAAAAGAGCAAAAAATCTGCATAGCATGTGTAGGAGGGATGGTGGATGGGTCATACAAACATGGACTTTCAACCAGGAGACCACTGTTCATTTCCAGGGTGAAACCAAAAGTCAATCTGGTGACGTGACTTTACGGACCTTACACAAAGTATGCAAAGTATTTCATGTAGGTACTTTAACCCCTTCTCATTCCCTGGGTGTCAAATATTAACACTTTGTCACGCCCCTTGGCATGTGATGTCGATGCCAAATGCAGCCTTTTATGTCTTTATGAGACCCACTAGGTTTTCAATTAACTCCAGTGTAAACCCATCTGTGGCCATATTTGACGCTGAAAGCAACTTTTGTAGTATAACGAGTGAGAAAGTCCGTATATGGTGAGAGGGAGGGGAGGTAGATGGGTCAAACAAAACTTGACTCTCATCCAGCAGATCACAGTTTGTGTCCCTTGTGAAACCCAAAGTCAGTGTTATTTTAATCTGGTGTTATGCAATTTATGTGAGATCATCGTGCAGTGATGTAACTTATTTTTACCCTCTTTTTCCTAAACCTAACCAAGCAGTTTTGTCGCCTAACTGTCACTGATCCACAACACGGGCTGTCATCACGATTTTTTAGTATGTTTTCCTACATAAAGCAGTGTACTCAAATTTGCACATATCCCATATATTTTGAAAGGCTGCAATCACATGACCAATGCCCTGATGGCAGTAAACAAGGAAGCTGTCACAAGTGCTTGTACGGAGGCAGGCTGTGTGAACTCTTTTTATGGCCTAAAGTTAACCTCTGTAACTTTACGTTAATTATGTAAATTTACATTATGGACTTAATGGTATTCTTGGGTCGCAAATTTGTAGGATATCATACAAACTGTTGTGCATGCATTTTTCATAGGATGTCATACAAACTGTTCTGTGAGAGTATGCTGCACAACATTAACCATATGTCACTATGTGTTAGCTGTGCAATATACACAGATGCTAAGGGGTGCCCTGTGCGTCACTAGGAGACACTGGGGGGCATGACAAAGCACTGGTATCTGACAATGTGTAAATGA